CATCACTACAATCTAATTTTAGAACATGTTCATCATCCTCAAAAGAAATCCTATGCAAAAAGAAATCCTGTAGCAGTCATTTCCCATTCCACCCACCCCTACCCACCCCCAACACACACACACCCAGCCCTAGGCAATCACTAATCTACTTTCTGTCTCTATAGATGTGCCTGTTCAGGATATTTCATATAAATGGAAATATACAGTCTGTTGCCTTTTGTGATTGGCTTATTTCGCTTAGCATGTGTTCAAGGTTCATCCATATTGTAGGATATATCAATACTTCGTTCTTTTTTATTGCCCAATTATAGTCCATTGTATAGATATACTATAAGTATTTTGTTTATCCACCCATGGTAAACAAAATGGATATTTGGGTTGTTTCCACTTTTTGGCTCTTTTGAATAACTATGAATAAGCTATGAATGTTAGTGTACAAGTTTCTGTGTGGACATGTTTCATTTCTCTTGAATATATAGTTAGGAATTGAATTGCTGGGTCATATGGCAACTCTGTTTAATATTTTGAGGAACTATTAAACTATTTCCCAAATTGGCTGCAGCATTATACATTCCCACCAGCAATGCATGAGGATTCCAATTTCTTCACTTCCTTGTCAATACCTGTTATTTTCTGTCTTTTATTATAGCTATCCTAGTGGGTATAAAGTGATATCTCATTGTAGTTTTGATTTATATTTCCCTAATAATTATGTTGTGCATCTTTTCATATGCTTATTGGCCCTTTGTGTATTTCCTTTGGAGATTTGTTTGTTCAAATTCTTTGCATATTTTTAAACTGGGTTGTCATTTTATTATTGAGTTGTAAGAGTTATTTATGTATTCTGGATAAAAGTCGTTAATCAGATATATGATTTGCAGATATTTTCTTCCATTGTGGTTTGTGTTTTCATTTCTTGACAGCGTCCCTTGGAGCATAAGTTTTTAATTTTGATGAAGTCCAATTTATTTATTTCTTCTTTTGCTGCCTGTACTTTTGGTGTAGTAACTAAGAAACCATGCCTAACTCAAGATCATGGAGATGCACTCCTGTTTTGTTCTAGGAGTCTTATAGTTTTAGCTCTTATACTTAGGTCTATTATCCATGCATACTCATACTTAAGAACCACCGGTTTGGATTACACCTTCTACATATCATGGCTAATCACTGTTTGCCCCAAAGACAATTCCCACCCTAAGAATTTTTAAGTCATCTGTTAGGATGATGCAAAATAATAATAAAACAGCTAACAGTGTATATTGAGCACTCGGTATGTGCTAAGCATTTTACATTATGTAATTTTGTTCAACCCTCACTATGAGGTGTATGTTATAATCACCTGCACTTTTCATGATGTAATATACTTCATTCTAAGATGATTTAATACATAAATCTCCTTTTTATTGTATTTTTTTTTAGCTGAGCCATCCTGCCACCTGTTGGCAGCTCAGCAGCAGCTCAGCTCGGGTTGGGAATTGAACCGGCGACACTTTTGCTTAGAGCTCACACTTTTGAGCGAGCTCTTAACCAACTGAGCCACTCAACCGGCCCTAGATCTCCTTCTTTTATGTAAAAAGGGATACCAACACTTTGTTTTGTGCTGGTCTCAGCCTATCAATAATCAATAGTATGGCTGAACCAGCCCTTGTGGTTCTTATTATGAATATAAGATGCCCCTCAGCAATAGCCATCAGCAAACTTTGAAAAGATACAGGTTTATAACTTACAAGATGGGGAAATTACATAGCACACCTGGGGCCACACAGCAAGTTTGAGTGTATAGAGACAAAGAGAGAGTGCACAGGCCTTGGGTTTTGCTTTTATTGGGGTCAAAGGTGGGGCCATTGGTTTCATGAGTTCAGTCTTTATTGGTGAATTTAAAACAAAAGAGCAGGAATTTAAAGCATGGGGAGAAAAAAAAAAAAACAAGTAGCCCAAATGGTAAGTTATTGAAATCAACCAAGAGCTCTGAAACAAAGGAGACTCAGTGGGGTGAGCCAGTCTGGCCCTTTATCTAGTTGTGTGGCTGGCTATGTGTTTATTTGAAATAGCCATATTTGAAGTAGATGCCTCAACAATCAAGCTTAAGTCAGGTACTTGCATTACAAAACAAAAAAACTCCAAATATCAGGGCTCACACTATGTACTTACATCTTTAGGCAGGAACGTTTTGCAAACTAAATAAGCTCATGTGTGTTAAAAGTACAGCACAATGCTTGGCAGAACAGGGCTCAAAGGATGAGAGTGCCTCTTTCTATTCCTTCATGATCCCCTCTCCCATTGGAGACCTGCCCCTTCCACTGATCAAAAAAGCCGTCAGTTCCAGGACTGATTTTTGCATTCTCCTAGCATCCTGCTCCTCTTTTCCCTTCTCTCATCGTTGTTTGTGATTTGTTTTATTTTGTTTTATTCTGAAGACTATTGCTTCTCTTCAGCTACTCCCCAAGTTCCATGAAGGCAGGGGGTGCAACTATGTCACTGCATTGTTCCCCAACACCCAGTATAGGGCCTGGGGACACAATAATCTTTTAAAAAATATACACACTTTCTGGTTTAAAATTCTCTAATGGCACATGGATTGCACTTTCAATAAAGTCCAAATTCAGGTCCCTACCTGATTGCCTCCCATCTGCCTCTTCATCCACATCTTCTATGTTACTCTTTCCACTTGGACCATACCATACTTGTTTCCTTTCTCAAACACACCTTGTTGTTTCCTGACTCAGAGTCTGTGCCCTCCGCTTGGAAGCTCTGATTAATTTCTCATTCTTTAGATCTCAGCTTAAATGTCACCTTTTCCCAGAGCCTTCCCTAACCACTCTGTCCAGTGTTACCACCACCCTTCCGCCATGTTATTCTTTTTTTTTTTTTTTT